TGTACCACATGTGACTCTTCAGACCTAGCTGACAGGAAGCATCCTTGTCTAGAGGAATACTTCCCCCATGCCAAGGACAGCCACATCCACCTTCGCCTTCTACTGCTCCGTCTTTGCAAAAGAAAGGTAGAAAATTCTCCAGCTCATGAAGTGCAATGTTGTAGCACTGATCTTCCCTAAAGGCCTTAACAGGACTGAAGCATTCTGCAAATACAGGCTTTTAAAAAAACAACCAAACACAAACCACCCCCCAAAACTACAACCCCACAGAAGTTACCTTTATAGAAGAGCACCACTATTTTCTGGAAGGCCTTCATGAAGTGAATGTTGTCGTAACAATACTCCTGAATCTTCAACAGAAGAGTCAGCTCTGACTGACCTTGGGTAGTAAAGGCAGCAAGTAGAGGGCTGTATTGCTGGAACGGGAACAACAAACTGGCACACACAGAGCACTTCACATTGATCACCCAACTAAACGGGTTTCACACCGTTTCCATCGACCACTGCTCAGAAATTTGCGAGCCCCACCCCACTCCACCCCAGGGTGCTTCTAGGGGGGCAATACTGCTTTTGCCTCAGTAACTTGGACTGTAATACCACCGTTACATGGAGAAGAATCCCCTGTCTAACGCTGTCTCTGCATTAGGGGGGCTGTAGGTTTTAACTCATTTAAAAGGGAGCTGGAGACAGAGGGAAGCCCAGGTCCCACCCAATGGCAGCAGAAGTCCACACTTAAGCGACAGTACCTTCAAGTGCTTAATAGCTTGCTCTGCTACCAGCTCCTCCTTTTTGTTCCATTCCACCGTGCTCATTACACTTGACCAGATTATGGCTACCACAGTCTGTTCCGAGATGTTGTTTTTCTTCATCTCCTCCTTCACGTACAAGATTATCTGCCAGTTGCAATAAAAGAGTCAGCACACAGGCCGCATATGACACTAGCCTAAATTAAAACTTCCAAAGTCCAGAAAACCTGGTCCTAATTTAAATTCTTAGTGAGAGCTAGGTGTTTTAAGTTCAGTATTTAATTAGGCATGTATCTTCTTCAGATTAGTATTAAATGCTATTGCATTTCAGATAATTTAAACTAAGTTCCTACAGAAAAAAGAAAGGAAAAAACCAAAAGCACCTCCACCTTGTCTACAGACAAATACTTACATCCTTGAATGGATCTCCCCTTGACATCTGCTCCTGAAGTTCTTTCTGCAGCTCTTTGCGAGCTCCGATGCTTTGCTGGTTGCGAACATACTCGGACAGTTCTTTTAGTCCTGCTTCAGTGAAGTACTTGGAGAAGTGTTCAACACTTTGTTTGTTGGCTGGGAAGAGTTCCTGAAAACAAAGTTTACAACAACTCTTTCACAAAAGAAACGTGTGTGGAATACTTTGCTGGTAAATGCTATTTACTAAACTGGCTTAAGCAGGAAATCGGTAATTTCAGTGGTACTCACCATCAGCCTGTTATCCATGTTTACTTTACGAAGACTGACAGCCACTGCATTAATATCTTTCTCATTTATCCATGATTTGAATAGCTTGACTGCAAAAGCTGCAGAAACACCTGTGCAATAGGAATAGTGCTATTATCATTACTGAAATTCAAAACAAAGGGAATCATAAGGCCTGGAGTACAGGGCAGCCGGTTTGTCAGAGCCCTGCTCAAAGCAGCAGCAGCAGCGCTCAGAGGCAGCCCTAGGATAGTCAGCAGCACCTCTGCCTGAAGATACTGCAGCCTCCAGCATGCTGGACTTGTCTTACCACTCAGCATCACGAAGGCTTCCCTCTACTGAACTCAACTCTCCTTGCTGCAGTTTACGAAGAAGCCGAAAGATGTGACACACCTTCTGCACGCTGAAAGGTCCCTCTCCAAAGTACAGTATTGCCTTGCTGGGCAACACTAGTAACCGCAGCCCCCAGCGTCACGCAGCAAAGTCCTACACATGAGCTTTCTGAAAAGACTGAAGCCTTATCAAGAGCTTCCGGGTTGCGAGGCAGCACGCTTGCCTTTGCTAATCCCGTTGTAAACCCATCACCAAATGAAGCTAGTGAGCTGTAAAGGTGTATTGTCATCACAATTTCCACCTACTTGTCATGGTTCTGTCCCCTACCATCCTTCCCTGAAGGAGGAGCTGGGCAACACTTACCTTCTTTAACCAAGTTCTCATTGTAAAGACTGTTGAGAATTGACGCATTAAGTGTCCCATTGGCTAGCAGAATGCCCGTCAACATGGCCAGTTTGTTCCGCTCAGACTCTGAGAACCCCTTCAGGAACAGCAGCAACTGAAAGTGAGAAGAGCTGCTATGAAACTATGATCTCTCATGGAAGTTTAGCTACTGCCTCCATGTCAGACACTTTTTCAGTCAAGCTATTTGACTAGCAGAAGCACTAGTTCACTGGTCATCTTCTCCACTAGTCATACAAGATAGCTGTTCTTCTATTAACAACTTTGAAGTGTTCTACTTTAATAATCCATTGTATGATGTAACTCTTCTGTATAGAGTCTTTAACTAGCAGAATTTAAAGGTTTGTTTGTCAGCCCATAA